TCGAAATTTAGTGGCTCCAGAAGGCGTGACCAAAATTATCTTTGTGCTCGAAATTTGGGTAGTGTTCGCTGATTTGTGAATCAAAACATTCGAAAAGAGGAATGTGTATTGAGGGGAGTGCATGACCTTCATATAAGTCGTTGTCACATCATTGTTTAAGGGGTTGAGGCCAAGCAAGTTTGACTTTTGTGGCGTTTGGTTCGTTTGTTGCTTATATCAGTGGTTTTGCTGTTTCTATGCTAAACTTCTCTAAAAGAGTCAAAGAAAGTTTCGCTATGTTTTTGCCTTGGAGATGCTGGTTAGGTTATGTTTGTGAAGTCTCAGCCGATGTCGACAACCTTGCAAAGATAGGGATTTTTGGTTAAAGTAGTTTTTCTGCGACTGACTGTACTTTTACGGCCTTCCCTATTATAAGTGCACCAGGGCTCCATCGCCGTCAATCTTGCCCTGAGATCAGATGAGCCAGGAAAACCATATTACCTGTTTTTCCAGATTTCAAAGAGCTACCTAACTGTGCTCTTGACTTACAGTTCACGGTGCCGCTTTAACAGTAGAAGCTCGTTAATTGTAAGTAGTAGCAAGTGATACCGTAGCCCTGTCGGTCTAAAAGTCTTTGACTTTGATTATTCCCTTTTGCGGGATGAGCTCACGCATTCGACCTCCTTTCAGAATCGTAGTAACGATCTGAGTGGAAGTCAGTGCTTTGTACTGGTCCTCCCAGATGAGTACTGATACGAATTAATCGACTTGAGGAGTGGAACGTTGGTTGATTTAGGTGAGGGGAAAGGAAAGGCAGGGGGAATGTTCTAGGATAGGTACCGAATTGGATCCCGGGACCAGGTAATCATAGTGTGGCTTTTATCGTTACACAGCTTTCGCTATACAATTCCTGTACCGTATGAACCACTTGTGAGTTAACCCAAAATTAATTATTACGTCTCTAATTGATTTGGGTAGTCACTCTACTGAAGAAGTGAACTTACCATTAATGCGATTGCTTGCTCAAACACGCTACAAATTGATGTTAATGGCCATCGACTAATCGAAAATACCGTGGCAAAGTAGACACCTATGCTATGTTAAACGATGTGAGGTATAACGGGATCGTAACTGCTTGGTAACAGAAACTTATAATCCTTCCTATGTTGAGTTGGGCATGGGGCAAGATCAACAGAGCACATGTAAGCTCGGCGCAGCTCCTCCATGGAGGGCGCGACATGTACAAGAGGGATGGTGCCATCGGGGAATCTTCCCAATTTGGCTTCATTACAGCCCACTCGCCAGAAAAATTAGCAAACATGAGGGATGGGTTAATAAATATTGAAGGAGGTGTACCTGTGGGGCTCTGGTAGTGAGCGGCACTTTCTAAATAAGTTCACGATACGAATCAGTGAAAGCCTAGAAGCCTGAAAAAATAGCGTGGGTAAGGTGTATTAAATGTTGAGCATCCTAGAACTTAGCGAGTGGGAAAATTTTGACTCTGTTCAAAAACGTTCTAGATTGTGGAAAAAAGTGTTCGGAGCTTATGTTCGTATTGTGGTCGTATCCCCAGAGTGGGTGGAGCTTGCGCTGTGGTGGGCTGGGCCAAAATAAAAAATTTGTAACTTGTTCAAATACGTTCTAGAACTGGGAAGAAAGTGGTCAGAGCTTATAGAAGTGGTGCGTTCAAATACTCATGTGGGTTGAAAAGAAGTCATTAGAGGCAAGAGGTAGAGGGTTCGTTGCGCCCATCAACTTAGCATTGAAGCGTTGGTATGTTCTTAGGGTTCTGTTAGGAGGTTCTGAAAGGACTACAGGAACTTATAACAGCAGTAAGGGCTGCAAGTCAGAGAAAGCAAGGTCATAAAGTCACTTTCTGATTTCGTCTCAGGCTTGATGCATTGGTGTTTGAGTGTGTGTTGCAGAATGCGACTGCATAAGAAATTGGATAGGGATAGACAAAAAAATGATAGCAGCTTATCAAGGGCTCATAGCAGCGGTAAGAGCCGTCACAGCGTGCATATCATATTGTTAGGCATTGTCATATTGCTGGCAACTGTTTTCAACGTGGCTCTGACACTTTAACATACATACGGTGTATAATGCGCTCGCATCTGTCTGTTTATTTGTTTGTTTGTTTCTCTGTCTGTCTGTCTGCGTGACTGTCTAGCACGAAATTTGATATTACCCTAAAATTCCATAGATAAGAGCGGGTGAACCTACCGGCGAAAAATTAATTGGAAAAAATCGAAATTGAATGCAGTCACCACTCTAACTTGATGGATGGATAAATTAAACTTCGAAGAAGAAGTTAAGAAGAAGCTCCGCCCCTTAACTCCAAACCCCGCCCACTTAATAAACAATTCATGTAGAAAAACAGCGATCCGTAAAATCGCTATTTTTCTACATGAA